GATTTAAGAGAAAGACATGACAAAAAGGTTGATACATTTTTTCATAGTGCATAGAGGTTTACTTTTATAATTAGGTGGGCTACATACTGAACTTAAGATGATTAAAGCAAAGTATCAGTCCCATTGTGCTAGTGTCCTTCTGATGGCAATATTTAGTTGGTATTAATACTATTAATATTTGGATGGATCCTCCCACCTCTACAGACCAGCGGAAACTCCAGTAGCTCTAGGGTGCCTTGTTTAATGCTGCATCATTCCTCTACAGGAACTGTACAGGTAATATCCTGACAGCTGTAATGGAGGATCAGAGCTGTGCGGCCCTACTTGGTTATGGAAGCTATGTGTGAAAGCTCATCTCTCTAAACTAAAGATAAGTCTTAAAATTCTTTGGAGACGCGCATATGGATCCGGCTGCAGGCGGTGAGAATCGGGCAGCTCAAGATATCATTTTGAATTAGTTTATGATTAGGGAGTTTTTGTTATATCATGCATTCAGTCACTGAAACAAAAATCATCAAACGTGAAAGCTGTTTTGGTTATTTCGGCGACTTCTAGACGACATTATGTTAAACACTTGTGCTTTAAGCTTACACTGTTACCACGGCGACCGAGAAGCGTCAGCAGTTATTAACCGGCATGAACAACGTCAGATGATTTTCGTTCCCCAGCAACACCAAAATAAAAACGAGACATCCGCTGCCTTCTTTCTGATTTCACACCGTGTGGGAATATTCGACCACTCAGTGAAACGGATTTCTCTTTTTTATTCTGAGTGCCAACGTGGTAGTTTCTGTTAGTGGAACGGTTTATATTCTAGCACACGGAACCAGAAACGTTGGAGGCGGAAATTAAACCTGTAAACAAACGTATAGCTTTAGTTAGAAGCGGTTACAGTATGTGCACATTGATTGTCTGCTGAGCCCAAAGAAGATGTTTAAAAACACATTCCAGAGCGGTTTTTTGTCTATTTTATATAGTATCGGCAGCAAACCTCTTCAGATATGGGACAAAAAGGTAAGCAGCCGCTCAGAACGGAAGCAGGGAGCTGTATGTTGGCTTAGCGAGCGGGGCTAAAACTGGCTAGCATCATGTGCACTCACGCCGCTTTTAAACTTCGCACTGTTTTATGGCTGTG